TCAGGAAACAGTATTGGTTCCCCAGGTGTCTGGGGCCCCAAGACTAGGAATGGCGCAGGGCCCAAACTAGGAGTATAGAACAGTGGGGTGGGGGGGAATGGAAGGGTGAATGAGGCTTAGGGAGTCCCGGCCTGGAGAGCTGCGCTGTAGACTTACCCCAAGAGGCCTGAGGATAGTAGTGCAGGCTAGGAGAGTTAGCCGGTGGTACCGTCAATTTTCATTTTTAAAGAGCAAAGAAAAGCATTAGCTGTTGTTCTGGTTTTGAACCAAAAACAAAAATAAAAGACAAGACTGGAATACTGCTATATTCTCTCTAAAGTGAAAAAAATAAATTCAGAAGCAAATACAAGCAGCTTGTATTGATAATCTGATTAAATCATATTCAACTTCAACTCATAAAGCTATGGCAAAATATTCATACTAATGAAAAACAGAGTATATGGGGCTGAAGAGGTAGTTCAGGGATTAAGGGTACTTGCTATTCTTCCAAAGGACTCAGGTTCAATTCCCAGCACCCACACAATAGCTCTGTTGCCATCTCACAAACATTACACACATACCATAAATAAATAATAAAAAAGTTTTATAAAAACAAGAAACAGAAAAACCAAAGAGTACAAACATCTGGTATAATTGTCTATCAGGTCAGGACCAAATTAGGAAATATTGACATTATACTTGTATAACATTTAATTGTATGATATATAAATATCTCAGGGATGTAAATATAAATCTCCTTGCTAAATCAGTGTCTGTAAGATGCTGTTTTCCATTTGTTATTACAATGATTTTTTAGCCAAATGCCAAAAAACAAAGCAGAATTCTATTCTTCATAACAAGTAAAACAGTCTTAGAGTTTATGAAACTGTTTAATATCTGACTTACATTTTACTGTAATTCCTACTCGTAAAACCAAATTTATACTAAAGAAATCTGTTTTGACAGATTTCTGTAATGTACAACATTGCTGCAATTCAAGCTATGGCCTTCAATGGCTTTTACCATGACAGTGAGACTGACATGGACCAGACTTCCTTTTCTCTGCACTCAGAAGAGGATTCCATGAGAGGAAGGTCCATAGGTAGTCCAAGGACAGATTCATCTTGGATGAAAAGAAGAAAATCTCTGGGAGGAAGCTTTGGTAGAGTCATCCTGGAAAACAACCATGCCATTGACACCTATTCTAGAATTGTATTTCCCATCATTTACATAATATTTAATTTGTTTTACTGGAGTATATATGTGTGAAGAGAATTTTGTCTTGTTTTCTCTTTTCTGTTCCCAGGACCTCATACATACTAGAAAAGTGTTTTACCATCCTCAGCCTGAAGAGAAATTTTTAATGTATAAACTTATATTTGAGTCAGATTATGTTATTTTAAAAACTCTTGAGTGTGAGTTGGACAGTACTCAATCCAGGATACAGCCAGTCATGTCTCTTGGCCTAAAGAAGATGGCTTAGGAAAATTTATTCCATAAATAAGTATAACAGATACATGTATTGTGGCTGGTGGCAGGGGGCCATTCCCACTGGAAAGAAGTGCTTGTAACTATTTCGTCTGTACCCTTCTTTTGTCATGAACATGTCTTTATTTAACTTGGGAATAAAGCTAGACTATGACATTTATTCAAGGATAATTGATTTCTTAGTGTCAGCCAGGTGTCAGATTACTCTGCAAACTACATCTCCCAGGGGAGAACTTCTACCTCCCAATGGTCCCTTCCCCCCATAGTTGAGAGTCTCCTGATGAGCCTCCTTCTTTTATTTCCAATCACATTGTATGTATGTTTAACTTCATATATTATTAAATCCAAAATTGGAAAATATCTGAACTTCACTCAGTCTTTAGTACTAATTTTCATTAGACTTAAGTTATTGATAATGGTATTTAGTTCTGTAGATGAGACAGAGACTTCATAGCTTCTTTAGTGTTTAATCTTTATTCATTAAATGTTTATTGACCACCCACATGTATCAGGCACTTTATTACTTGCAAGTGAAAAAGAAATGATCTACTCTTTCCACCTCAAGTACCAGTCATGCAAGAATAGCCACTGTTTGAAAAATCAATGTAATAGATGTTAACATGGAGTTATGTACAATATCCTGAAAAGTGGGCGCATCAAAAGAAGGAAGAGACCATGCAGGAAGGGATGCACACTCTCAACTTACAAATAACTGAGGATTTTTAGACATCACATCAAGTGAAGCATGTAATATGTATGTCCCATAAAAATGTTGTTAACAACAAGTAAATCAGGTCAAGTGGGCATTACATAAATGTTCATTCAGTAGAAAACCCTCCGATGTTCTGCATTCATTTTGCAGATTGGCAGAGTATGTGATTCTGTGTCGGGTATTTTGTGAAAATCCCTTGGCAGGTAGTCAGAAATGCCTCCTTCTTGTCCTGAGTCTTGAGAATGAATTAAGAGAATAAATTAAATGGTGTAGTGATTTCAATGTACCTCCATTTATTTTACCATATAGTCAACCAAAATGGCTTGATTTATTTTATACCAAATGAAGAAAACAAATACTTTCTTGCATGCTTGCCAGTAACATTGACTTTGTCTGTTGTGAGTCACATAGGATTCTAGATAAGTATTTCCCTCCAGGGTGCAAAGGACTAAATGGAGAATTTTTTCTCTATCATGGCTTTCTTCCTGGGCATGCTAATTCTCAGATACTTCTGTTTTCTTAATACAACTTTTCCAATCCTTTTAAAATTTCTCAAGGCTTGTATTATTTTTTTAGAGTACTGTCCAAAACTGAGATAATGGTTATTTAACCTTTTATTCATTTAATTTTAGTTGGATTTTTAAATAAACATTTTAAATTATTTATTTAATGGCTTTTAAGCTCAATTTCATAGAATGATTTTGTAGGGTTACTTTTTAATTAATTTTTTATTTTATGTGTATGAGTATTTTGCCTGCATGTATGGAAGTGCACTCCTATCATACAGTGCCCATGGAGGCTAGAAGAGGGCTCCAGATCCCCCTGGAACTGGAGTTATGAACAGTTAGGAGCCATCATGTGGGTGCTGGGACCTATACCCAGCTCTTCTGCAAGAGCAGCCAGTGCTCTTAAACACTGAGCCATCTCTCCAGTCCTTGTATGGTTATATTTTAAAAATAAAATACAGATTAATATGCTAGGTAGTTGAAAATTTGTGATGCGTATATAGCATTGTAATAAGCTGGATTATCTTTCTTATTTTTAACAAATTCTGTATATGTTGTAAAAAAGGAAAAAGAATCTGCAAACAGAAACACCCCCACTGTTCCCTGCCTCCAGTGCTTTAGTTCTTCAGCTATTGCTACTTCTCACATACATTGAACTGAAACACTCACTATGTTTAATGTTTCCCCTGGGATATTCATTTCACTATTTTAAATCAAATGCATCACTGAATACACTTGGCAATTTAGGCTAGGAGAACGGGCTCCATCACATACTCTACATTCCTCTGAGGGTCATTAATGTACAATTGTTGGCCAATCAAACATAACTTTTCTTAATGTCTAGAAATATAGGCAGTATATCTTTCAGTAATAAATGTCTAACACTTGGAAATAAAATATGTTTACTGCACCAGGGAATTATCAGGCCATTCAGAACGAACTCCGAGGATTTTAGTTCTCGTCAGATCGGCTATTTGCGAAGACAGAGTTCTTCCCATTAGCTTCCTTTCTACCAGGGAGCAGCAAGGTTTCTGGGTAGGTTCTTATTTCACAAAGAATGAAACCGCAGCTATCTGGAGAATATATAAATGACAAAGAACATATAATAGTTACCTTATTTCAATTTTTACTTCATTTACTGATCACAATCCCGAACAGACTGTGCATGAGTGTTCACTGAGGGATAAGCCTGGATAAAATGGGAAGATTTCAGAATATAAGCTGCTTTGTAAGATTTTTTTAAAAAGTCAGTCAGCTTATAAACTGCCTAAATATAGAAATGGGCGGGTTTGTGAAGATTACGTAGCCTATAAAAAGGTGTATTTTAACTTAGTTTTGCAGTTTCTGTTCTGCTTAGAAAAAATAGTGTCTAAAATTCTCAAAGTTTTTTTAACTTAAAAAAAGAATTAAATATTTAACATTTTAATTATATTCTTAGAGTTTTCTTTTAACACAATATTTTTAATGGAAATTTTGCATATAGTTTCATGTCCTACTTTAAACACTTATATCCCTGTATACCCTGTACTGTCTCCTGGGGATACAGTTACAACAGACATGGGCCCTGGACCATTTGAAGATACATTCTATTGAAGAATGTATCTAAATTATGTCAATTGTAACCAGATTTTCTTCTTTAGATTATAAACAGCTCTCTGTGCCTTTTTTTCCTGCAAACAAAATGAAAACTATGTGTTACAACCTATTTCACTGAAGGGTGCACTACAGTTCATTAAACCAATTTCTAGCTGTAGAGATTAGAATTATTTCCTATTGTTCATTTTTATAATGGGCTGAATTAGTAACCTAACAATATTTAGAACTGCAATTAGTTTTGAAAAAAGGAAATTTCTAATTGTATTCAAATTTCAGCATTTATTTCCTTCGTGGGAATGCCTGTTTTCCCTTAGAACCTGCTATGTCAGGCTTTCTCACCTGTTGGCCCAGCAGTTCCAGAATACAGATTCCGGTAAAAAGAAATACCTTCAGTTTTGGCTGATTCTGACAGTAAGCAGAACTAATACTCCCCTTTTTATTGTAAGTTTGGAATTATATAAGATATTTTTCAGTTGACCCTATTTATTGAAAACCTGCTTCCTTCTGTGAGTGATTTTGCCACCATTAGCTTTTGTCATATTTGTAAATAGGAAAATAACTGAAATTGCAACTTTTTGCATATGAGTTATCATACAACTTCAATTTGTGGCCTGATTGTCTTTCTTCACTCTTGCAGCTGGGTTAGTCTTCTTGAGTCAAGTCTGTCATTTTTTATTGTACCATGTGCATTTCCTATCATTTTAACATGGAGATGAATGAGGACAAAAAGTTATTCCTAATTCTGTAATTATTATCATGTAAAGATTCCAGTACATCTCCCTCAAAAATTCAAGAAAGGATACTGTTTCAAATAAAACCTGTACCTGGGCAGCTGCTATTTCCTGGCAGGCAATTGTACTCTCCAATTACCTCACTTAAGGAATGGAACTGCCTCATCTTTCCATAAACACTGCTTTAAAACACTCTATCATTGCATAAAGTTCTGCTTCATTTCAGAATCCTTTCACTTTCCAACTGCAGTTTGACTCCATTGGATTGAACAAAGAACTTCAACATTTTTCATGCTTTTAAAGTAACAGTGAAAGACAAAAACACATTGCACGTTTAAGAAGGTGACTCTATTTGTGCTATTTCAATATGAAGGATGTGTATTCGTGGGGAACATCTCACAGAAGGAAGGGCTCCAGGAGTTTCACAAAGGGAGGAAAAATTGTGAGGTATTTTCTTTTATGTAAAGGTGGATCTTACATACAATATAGAAAATCGGTATATTCAGTATGGCCATTTCTCATAATCCAAAATGGTAGCAGGGAATTTGTGATGCCCACCGCTTTCCAGAAACACAAGGGTTCGGATAAAGTTCAACACTGTAGCTAAGATATTGTCAGTTATTCCATTCCACTGTTGAATTACGATGTCCTTGGCCTATGATACAACCAAGTGTCAAAGAGATACTATAGAAGGCTTTTTTTCAATATATTGATCCTTTGTTTCAGGAAATAGTGATTTCTGCTTTATAGTCAGGCCATCTAAAGGCTATGGTAACACTTTTCACCCCAGGATCAATGTAACTCATTATAGAAATGTGTCTTCTGCAGAAATGCTGCAAAAGGTTTTACACAAATGTGCTGCTACTTAGCTAATTACTCCTTGACTTGGCAATTAAAAAAAATGAATTTATAATGGAAGTAGCATCTCATTTCATATCATGAAATAACAAAACTTTCAAAGTCTGATATGGCCTATGTCCTATAAAAGTGACAACTAGCAAAAGTGAACAAGGGAAATTTCACAATTTCACAAAGCCCCACCCCTAGATGAAGAGCTATTAAAGGTAGTCAGTCAATGGCTGATGAGAGAGGGGCAGTCAGTTTTTTCCCTAACAGGTTATCCAATTCCAAGTGGTCAGGCCTAAATACATGTAAATAGGAGCAACAGCAAATGAGCTCAATAGAATGCGTGCGTGCGTGTGTGTGTGTGTGTGTGTGTGTGTGTGTGTGTGTGTG